CCTGAACACCACAAGTCTCCAAACGGAGGCATTTCCAGGATATTCTTGTGTCTGTCTTACGGGGTGAGTAACTTCTTCTAATGAGGGAGGACTAACGATCCCTCCAGGGATGGGCTGGCACTGCTGAGCAACCGCCAAAGAGCACGAGGCCATGGGGTGGATGGAGCCCAGGGAGCGTCCCCATGTCCCTTGTACCCTTACTGCCATGCCATGTCCCCATGTCCCCTGTGCTTCCACCCAGTGCAGCCATTCTGCCAGCACCAAGGCGAGGACAGAGATGGGGCAGCAATGGGGCAGCAATGGGGTGGCAATGGGATAGTGATGGGATGGCAATAGGGCAGCAGTGGGATGGCAGTGGGACAGAAATGGGGACAGTGATGGGATGGCAATAGGGCAGCGATGAGATGGCAGTGGGATGGCAATGGGGCAGCAAGGGGGTGGCAATGGGATAGTGATGGGATGGCAGTAGGGCAGCAATGGGATGGCAATGGGACAGCAATGGGGCAGCAATGGGATGGCAGTGGGACAACAATGGGGCAGCAAGGGGGTGGCAATGGGATAGTGATGGGATGGCGATGGGATGGCAACAGGGCAGCAGTGGGATGGCAGTAGGGTGGCAGCGGGGCAGCAATGGGATGGCAGTGGGACAGCAATGGGGTGGCAATGGGATAGTGATGGGATGGCGATGAGGCAGCAATGGAATGGCAATATGGCAGTGATGGGATAGCAATAGGATGACAAGGGGATGGCAATAGGGCAGCAATGGGATGGCAGTAGGGTGGCAAAGGGGCAGCAGTGGGGTGGCAATGGGATGGCAATGGGACAGCAATGGGGCCGGAGTGGGATAGCAATGGAACAGTGATGGGATGGCAGTGGGATGTGATGAGATAGAAATTGGACTGCGATGGGATGGCAATGGAGCAGCAGTGGGATGGTAATAGGATGGTGATAGGGTGGCAGTGGGACAGAGATAAGATGATGGTGGGGCAGCAAAGGAATTGTGGTGAGACAGCAACGGGACAGAGATGAGATGACATTGAAACAGCAATGGGATGGCAGTGGGATGGCGATTGGCAGTGATGAGATGGCAATGGAATGGCAATGGGACAACGATGGGACAGTGCTGGGGTGGCAATGGGATGGCAATAGGACAGTGCATGCCACCACCTGGAGCCACACTCAGTCAGCACTCACAGCCTGAAAAAAAACAAAGGGAAAGGCCAGCAGGGTTTCCTAGCAGTCTCCAACTAACAGCAGCCCTGCAGATGGCCGTCACTCTTTAAAATCCCAAATCAAGCCAAGCAAACAGTGCTACATCACCAGCTCACGGGTTGCTATGGGCGCTGCTGGGAGAACACCGTGTGGTTTTGGGTTCCCCCGCTGCAGATCCGGGGTCACCACGGGGGTTTGGGGGGCAGAGTGGTGACACCATCGTTGTCACCGGATGGGGCTCGATGCCAGCGCTCCCGGCATGGCTCTGGGGGTGCTTGGGGCTGCAGGGCTGTGTGCAGCCCGGGGAGGTGACGGTGCCATTCCCCAGCTCTGTGTCAGCCGTGCTAATAACAACCTGTGCTCCTGCACTGCCTTTCATCTCAGGTCCTTGGAGGTGGCCCTCGGTGGCTCACAACACCTCCCTGGGGTGGCATCACGGCCGTCATCCATCAGTGTTATTTCCGGAAGCCAAAGGGGCTGTGGGAGCCACGCAGGGACCCCTGCACCGGGTGAGGATGGACTCAGCCTTGCCTTGGCTGGCGTGGGGACATCCTCTGCAGTGGTGGCACCCAGGTGTCACTCAGCCAAGGGCTGGGGGCAATGGGAAAGTGCTGGCAGTGCTGCCCGCATCCCCTGCCTCAGTTTCCCCACCCGCTGCCCAAAACCCTCTGCCCAGACCTCCACCTCCTCCTCCTGTTGGCTTTTGGGATGGATGAGCCTGAACTCAACCAACCCCTCCTCCTCCCTTCCTTCTGCCCCACAGCCCAAGCAGGCAGTGCCCACCGCCCCACATTATTCAGGTTGCCAGGCATCTCTGTGCTCTGCTGCAGCTCCCAGGAGGGATAAGGCCTTCCTCCTCATCGTCCTCCCCCCTCCTCATCCTCACCTTGTCCTTTTCATCCTCCCCACCTCATCCTCCTCATCCTCCCCTTCTCCTCACCCTTACCTTCTCTTCCTCCTCCTCGCCTCTTCCTCCTCATCCTCACTTCCTCCTCATCCTCACCACCTCCTCTTCCTCATCCTCATCTCATTCTTCTCATCCTCACCTTGTCCTCTTCATCCTCACCACCTCATCTGCCTCATCCTCACTTCATCCTCCTCATCCTCACCACCTCCTCATCCTCATCACCTCCTCATCCTCACCTTGTCTTCCTCATCTTCACCACCTCATCCTCTTCATCCTCACCTCCTCTTCCTCATCTTCACCTCATCCTCCTCATCTTCACCTCATCCTCCTCATCCCTACTTCATCCTCCTCATCTTTACGTTGTCTTCCTCATCCTCACTTCTTCCTCCTTATCCTCACCTTGTCCTCCTCATCCTCATCTCATTCTTCTCATCCTCACTTTGTCCTCTTCTTCCTCACCACTTCATCCTCCTCATCCTCACCTTGTCCTCCCCATCCTCACAGCTCCCCTGAGGACGAAGCAGTGCCCTGGGAGCTGCAGGGTTCCAGCAGTGCCACAACTGCACAAATGGTGCAAGCAGGAGGCAGCGGGGAGCTGTGTTTGCCGAGGGAGGTTGCAGACACAGCTGGGACCCACCTCCTAAATCCACAGCAGGCACGGGGCAGCAGGCATGTGCATGGGGACAGCGTGGGGACGGTGACCTGTTTGTGTAGGGACAACAGGTGAGCACCTGGAAACAGCTGGCACCTGCATGGGGATGGTGGGATGTGTGCATGCACAGAGTCAGCGCCGTGCACGCAGGGACAGCTGGTGTGTGGCATGGGGACAGCAGGGCATCCACGGGGCTGGGTGCCAGGCGACAGGCAGTGCACACATGGGGACTTCTGCCACGCACGAGGGAGCGTTGCTGCTGCTTGCGGTGACGTTTGGTGACGTCGGTGGCTCTGGAGCAGGGCTGGGTCCCTGCTGCTTGCTCAGGGAGGCGGCTCACCTGCGCAATGGCAGGCAGGCAGCAGTCGGTCCCACACAGTCAGGGTGTCCCCAAAGCCTCTCCTGACCCCTCGGTTGGGCTGTTCCCTCCCAGCCTGGCTCGGTTCCCCCCAGCCCTGCACCCAGTTCTGCAGGTGAGCATCCCACAGGGGCTGGGAAAGAGCCCCCAACGGGGTGCTGCTCCCTGCAGTCCCCTGTGCCCAACTCCTCAGCCATGTGCCAAGGGATTCTGCCAGGGCACCACAGTGCCACAGTTTGGGCTCCAGGAGCGGGTGCTCAGCTCACTGCTGTCGGGCACTGCAGTGCATCCCATGGCATCACAGGGCCCATGGCATCACAGGGGCCACTGCCCAGACATCGGGCACTGGGGGCTCAAAACAGGGGACATGGGACAGGGGAAATGAAATGTGGGGTGTGGGGCACGAGATGTGGAACATGGGACATGGGAACTGGGACACAGGATATAGGAGATGGGACGTGGAAAATAAGGGAGGGAGGGGATGCTCTCCTGATTTCCTAAGCACTTTGACTCGTCCATCAGCATCTTGGGAAACTTCCTGATAAAGCTCTTCTGTCGGTGTCACCAAAGGGGTTTTGCAACAGCAATATTTGCAGAGTTCCATGGAAAACTGCTTTCACTCCCTGCACCCCACACCCTACACCTGCCTGGTGGCCTCGCAGTGCTCCTGCCTCAGGGCTCACCCAGCACACCCAGCCCAACCCCATGTTCCCCCAGCAGCTGTGGGCACCCATCGGGGCATTATGGGGCACACCGAGCTCAGTCCTGGCTGCCTCACAAGTTGAACGTCTGCCCTATTCTTCACCTTTTGCACAATGGCTTTGTGGCTTTCCAAGGAACCATGCAGCACCCTGGCACATGCGTGGCACCCTGGCCGTGTCTTGCTTTGGTGACGCCCTGCTGGCAGCTGCCCCGTCTGCACACCAGGCATCATCAGCAGCAGAGCTTGGTACCCACAGGGAGATCTCCAGTGTCCAATGGGAGAGCAGAGTGCTGATGTGGGGATGGGCTCTGAGAGAGAACCCAGGGCTGGGGAATCCCTTAGGAGAAAACAGCAATGGGACATGAACTGGGGTTTGGGCTCCCGGGGTGCAGCAGCACTACATGACCTTGTGGGCTCCGTGATGGGAAACCAATGGGGAATCAATTTGGTTATCAATTGGGCATCCATGGGTGGTGTATGGAATATCAGTGGGGCATCCATGGGGCATCAGTGGGATGTCAGGCAGGTATCAATGTGACACTGGTAGGGTATCAATGGGGCATCAACTTGGTATCAATGGGCCATGAATGGCATGCCAGTGGGACATGAAAGGGATGTTAATGGGGCACCAATTTGGTATCGATGGGACACCCGGGGTTGTGAATGGAACATCAAAAGCACATCAATGGGGCCAACAGGAGTATGGATGGAATGCCAGCAGGGTGGTTAAGGGGCATCAATTCAGTATCAATGGAACATCAACAGATGTCAATGGAATGTCAACAGAGCATCAATGGGACATGAGTGGGGTGTCCCCAGCGGGACATCAGCGCGGTATCCCAGGTGTCACGGCTGGGTGTCCCCACAGCCGCCGCTCCCGGGCGCGGTCCCTTTAAGCCGCCGGGATCCCTCCACGCCGCAGGCCGTGCCAGAGGGCGGGGCAAGCCGCCGGAGCCCCGCCCCCTCCCTCTTCACCCCGCCTCTTTCTTTTTCTCCTCTTTCCGATTGGCGCTCCGTCGAGCCCCGACCTTCCCTCTGCGCCAATCAGAACGCAGGAGGGGATGTGAGACCCGGCAGCGATTGGCGGCGGGGCCGGGCCAATGGGGGCGCGGCGGGGCGCCTATATAAAGCGGCGGCGGGGCGAGGGCGAGCGCAGTGCTGAGCGCAGCCGGCGGCGGGCGGGAGCGCAGCGGCGCGGAACGGTTCCCTGCAGCGCCCCCCCGGGGTCCGCCTCCGCCCGCAGCTCCCCCCGCTCGGCACCGGCTTAGGGTTTTTTTTTTTTTTTTTCCCTTCACTTTCCTTCTTTCCCCCCCCATCACCACCACCTCCCAGCCCGGTATTTCCGGCTGATTTCCGCACCGCTTCCGGGGGGAGCTGCCGGCGGGGCGATGCTGGCGGCGGAGGCTGCGGGCTGCTCGGAGCAGCGCACCGGGGAGCGCTTCAGCGTGCTGACATGGGAGCAGGTGCAGCGATTGGACCAGATCTTGGGCGAGACCGTCCCCATCCACGGCCGAGGCAACTTCCCGACGCTGTCCGTGAGGCCCCGAACCATCGTGCAGGTGAGAACCGGGCGGTACCGGGGGGCTCTTGGGGTTCTGCCGCGGTCTCGGGGGATGGGAGGGGGGTGGGGGATGGGAGGAGCCCCGCACTGCGCTCCCGGAGGTTCCCCCCCCCTCTGTGTGCCCCGCACGTGGCGCTGCCCCCGGTCCGCACGGGGCTCTCGGTCTGATTCCAGAGTTCTGTTGGTTTAACCATAAAGTCATAACCGTGTTTAATATTAAACTGACAGCGTAGTTCAAATAAGCTGATGCATATTCATGTTTGGGAGGCAACTTCGTTCTTCGGTAATGACTCATCAAATGTAAAATCGGGCATGTTGGCTTCTAATTACAAAGGAGATTCGCGAAGCCGAGCCCCGGCCGGCTCTCCCAGCACAGCGGCGGCTGCTGCTGCGTTCGGAGCTCGGCTGCCCCATGGATGGATGCCTCCCCCCGGCTGCCCCGCTGTGGTTCTGTGCTGGTTTCCTTCTTTCCCCGATATCTTTGGGTTTTTGAGCTGTTGCGTGCAGCCCAAGGAGCTGCTGTGGGGTTGGGGCAGAGCTGGAGCACCCCTCGTATAGCATCCCCCCGCAGCTGTGTCCCAAAGGGATGCTGCTCGAGCTCCTTCCCGCAGTGTTTGGGGCTGAGTAATTCTGAGGAGTAACCAGAAAGGCACTCGTTGACAGTGGGGAACAGCAGGTAGGGTTGGGGTAGGGCTGGCTGCCTGTCAGAACCAATTAACTCAACCACAGTGGAGGTGAGGTGCGGGTTTGGGAAGCAGGTCAGCAGCTGTGTAACCCTCCAAATATCTGCCCCTATGGGGAAAATCACATTCCTGCCCCCACTGCAGCCTCCTGTCCTTGGGGGGGGGGATCTGCTGAGCACTGAAGCTTTGGGGTCAGGGTGGGGTTGTTCCCCCCTCAATGCTTAGCAGAGCTGTCAGCCCTCAGTTATGGGGCTGAAGCTCTGTAGGTTCAGTGTAGGATTGAGCAGCCATCCTTGGGCTGTGTCTGGGAAGTTAAATTGGAACGAGACCTTCCCCCAGCTCTGCTCTGGTATCTCTGTGATCTGCATCTCACCTCGAACCGAGCCCCACAGAGCAGCAGTGCTGGCAGTGTGCATGGCTCAGCAACAGAGAGCTCGTGTGGGTTCAGCTCTCTGACAGCTGCTCTGCAGATAAACCACTCCTGGATTTTTTTAGGAGTAAATTCCTCTTTTAGAGGACAAATGTGTTCATATGCTGGTGGGGACTTGGGACTTCCGACGGCGAGCAGCTCCCTGGTTAACTGTTGCCCAGCATGTGACCATCGCCGTGGGGCTGGCATTGAGCCTGGGCACATCTCCAGCCTGAGCAGCAGTTCCTAATGTCAGAGAGCAATGGGGAAATGCCAGCATTGTAGCTGCATCAGGACACCGAGCGGCCTCCCGGGCTTGGGATTTAACAAGTTTTAGGGCAGTTGTAGGAGCATTTTTTCCAAACGTGTCTCCCTGCAAGGGCAGCTCAGGGTCAGTGCAGCTCACTGTGGTCCTTCACCCCGGTGCTGCTTCTAAACCAAAGGACGGAGCTGCAACATGTGGGTGTCCCTGGGAGAATGGGGTGCCCTGCTGGGGTAACTGCTGTCTGTACCCCAAAGTTGGGTTCTTCCAAGCTGCCTCCTCGCATCCAGCACCAGGTGAGCAGGCGGAGGTTTGCAGGGCTCTGTAATTGCAGGAAGGAGAAATGAAAGGGATGGGAGGGGGGTGAGGTTTGCATCTTCCTGCAGCAGCTCATCCTGCCTTCCCGAGATCTGTGAGCTCTGTTAAATGACAAGCTGTGTCCGTGGCAGTTTATTGTATGGTCTTAAGGTGATTCCAGTTAAGTAATCAGGCAAATGATTCAGCCTCGTACTCAATGAACAAAGCTCTGCAGGTACGGGTGGGTGTGCCAGGGCTGAGCATTAACACTGCTGGAGTAACACCCGTCAGATGAAAGCTGCCTCCTGTGCTTGATAGCACGCCAAGTTCAGCACGAAGCTCTGACACACTGGAAATTGTTAGGATACACTTACTAGTTAGGACATGAACTTGCATACACCTGGCCAAGGCTTTTGAGTGCTTCTGGCATCTTGATTTGCCTCTAATTAATCTTGACAGGTAAAAGGGGACGGCTGGAATGAGTGAGCAGCTCTGATGAGATCAGCAGGGACGGCAGCCACCCCAGAGCCACCGGGGGGAACCTGGGGACGGCTGGCTGCAGCCCCAAAGAGCAGAGCCTGCTGCCCAGGAGCTGCTGGGATAAGCAGGGAGGGGAGGGCACACAGATGTGCTGGGAGACCCTCAGATGTGAGGACGCGGTGTGGGAGGCATCCAGAGCTGTGCCAGCAGCTGGGGTGGGTCTCCCAAAGTGACCTATTTCTGCTGGATTAGCTCTTCATTTTGCTGTCTTGCACTGGGGTGACCCATATAAGCGTGGGGAGCGGATCCCAGTGCTGTCAGAGGGCTGCCCTGGGATCGGGTGCTGGCTTCTCACCTCCGTTCTTCTCATCCATCCCTCAGGTCGTCCGCAGTCGCCTGGAGAAGAAGGGGATCGTGGTGCACAACGTGAGGCTGAACGGCTCAGCAGCCAGCCACGTGCTGCACCAGGACAGCGGGCTGGGCTACAAGGACCTCGACCTCATCTTCGGGGTGGATCTGAAGACGGAAGACGTCTTCCAGCAGGTGAAGGATGTGGTGATGGATTGCCTCCTCGACTTCCTCCCCGAAGGGGTCAACAAAGACAAGATCACCCCCATGACCCTGAAGGAAGCCTATGTGCAGAAGCTGGTGAAGGTGTGCAATGAAACCGACCGCTGGAGCCTCATCTCCCTGTCCAACAACAGTGGGAAGAACGTGGAGCTCAAATTCGTGGACTCTCTCAGGAGGCAGTTTGAGTTCAGCGTGGATTCCTTTCAGATCATCCTGGATTCCCTTCTGCTCTTCGGGGAGTGCTCGGAAAACCCCATGGCTGAGAACTTCCACCCCACGGTCACCGGGGAGAGCATGTATGGGGACTTTGAGGAGGCCATGGAGCACCTGAGGAGCAGAGTCATCGCCACCCGGAACCCGGAGGAGATCAGAGGTGGGGGGCTCCTGAAGTACTGCAACCTCCTGGTGAGGGGCTTCAAACCCAAATCCGAGGTGGATATGAAGGCTCTGCAGCGTTACATGTGCTCCAGGTTTTTCATAGACTTCTCTGACATCGGCGAGCAGCAGAGGAAGCTGGAGTGCTACCTGCAGAGCCACTTCGTGGGCATGGAGGACAAACGTTATGACTATCTGATGACCCTCCACCGGGTGGTCAATGAGAGCACGGTCTGCCTCATGGGACACGAGAGGAGGCAGACCCTGAACCTCATTGCCACGCTGGCCGTGAGGGTCCTGGCTGAGCAGAACATCCTCCCCACTGTCACAAATGTCACCTGCTATTACCAGCCGGCCCCTTACATCAGCGAGATCAACGTCAACTACTACGTGACCCACGTGCAGCCCTTCCTGCCCTGCAACCAATCCTACCCCACGTGGCTGCCCTGTAACTGAGCTGGGATGAACTTCAGGGGCTGCCCTCGAGGTATTCCCTGGTTTTGGGGAGCCAGGAGTGGGGGTGACCTTCCTAGAACTGCAACGAAAGGAAACTTCACTCTTGCCCCCCCAGCGTGTGTTGCTGCTGGGGTGGTCAGAGCCAGGCCTGCAGGCTGTGATGGGCCGTGCAGTGCTGCAGGAGCTCAGATGGGAAGATTTATTGTAGGCAATGGGGGGGGTAAGGGGGGGGTGTGAGGGGAGATTGTAGAGTTCCGGTGAGGTAGATCTGCACTGCCCTGAAATGGATCTGAATCTTTTTTTCCTTTTTTTTTTTAGTGCAGGGGGTGTTATGGGTGTGTGCAGACTTGTGGTTTCTGATGAGAGAAGCCAGAGTGGCTAATTTCCTGTGAACGGACCAAAGAATCCTGTTTAAGTGCCTGTAACAACATAAACACAACTGTACTGTAAACCTGATATATAGATATATATTTTTTGCAGGGGTTGACATCCCGAGAGCTCGAAGAGGGGATGTCCTGCGTGGAAAATGTTTCTGTTGTATGGGTGGGAGGGGGAGGGGGGGGTCATGAGATCATTTCTAGTAGCCTTGCTGGAGGGAGAGTGGGATCTGGCTTGGATTGACTGCGTGTAAATGCCTGAAATGGGGAGGATGCTGCTGGGGGGGTGCGTGGGTTGACTGAAGCTCCCCATCCTGTGGTGCCTAAAGGTGAATTTGTCCATGGAGGATGATGCAGATCGGTGTGGGAGCCCCAGGCTGTGCGGGGTGCTGTGTTTTCTAGGGGAATTGGCAATGCTGCTTTTCTTGGCATGCAGCGTGGCATCACGTTTGGGGCTCTGTGGGAAGAGCAGGCTTGTCCTTGAAGCACAATGCATTCAGGAGGCTGTTATCTCATGGTGGGGGCCGTGTCCCTGGGGAGGGGGGGGGATGCACAGCCCTCTCCCAGCACCCTGATCCTCCTCCACTTTGGGGCAGGTCCTGTTCAGAAGCAGCTGCTGTGATCCCAGCTGTGTGAACCATTGGAACTCATCCTCTAGCTGGAAGCTGGGGTCCCACGTGAGGGGTGGTTGGTGTTAGGAGAAATTCTGTCTTCCAAACAAACCCTGTTGTGTCTTAAGGGCCCCGGGGTGGTTCTGCTGGGTTGTGCAGAGCCTTTCCCTGTGCTGCCCCTTCTCACCGAGCATCATCTCAGGCCATCTGTGCGTGGATGGGGCGGTGGGAAGGCAGCTGGGTGCTCCCTCTGAGGCTAACAGACTCAGTATCTCTACTAACTCATTTGTGTTCCTGTGACGACTGTACCAGGCGGGCAGACCTGCTAAATAAAGTCTAGATACTTGGAATGTGTCTAGCCAGATTGCTGCCTTCTTTGGGGGCAGGGGTGATGTGGGGTGGGGATGCCGCTGGGGGCTCCTTGCACTTAATACCAACTAACCAAGTTTCCCATTGGTGCAGCTTTGCTTCCTGCCCAGGAAACCCCATGGAGGAAGCACTGGTGATGCCACAGCAGCTCCGGGTGTCACTGTGGCTTTTCCCACGGGGCAGCTTTGCTTTCACAGGCACGGCTCACCAGCAGCCTGCAAACTGCCTGGTGCTCTGCTCCACGCAAAGCTGTTCCAAGGGTGGCTTCAAGATCCTGACCACCATCTCCCATTCCAAGCTCCACGCCGTGTAGCATGCTTCTCTTCATTCTTACAGGCTCCTTACTCTCTACCCACAGAAACAGAGATGCACTAAACTGAGATTTTGTTTTTTTTCCCCCCCTCCTCCCTATTGCAGATGTGTTTCCCTACAGCTGACAGCTCGACTTACGTTGAGATTGCACTTTTGGTTTGTGGAGTGCGTGTGGTGGGACTCTGAATGGGTTGAATCTGAATTTTCTAGACCTTGCAGTGATACTGTGCTGCCTCCTGTGAGGGGGCATTGGGAAGATTCCAGTAGCTCGAATGGCACTTGATTTTGTTTTAAGTGTTTTTTTTTTTTCCTACACCTGTATCACTTGTCATGCGATGGGCTTGACATAGATTCACTAGATTCTTTAGAATCTGTTTAAAAATAAATACAGTGTATTCAAATCTGTTGGGTTTTTTTTTTATTTGCTTGTCTATTAGGGCAGGGGGGTGGTATTGGTGCTGTCCTTACTGGAAAGAACCAGAACAGATTGATGGTGTGGAGCAGCTCTGGCTTCCTGATTCTCCCTCTGCTCTGCCCCAAAGCCTGGTGGCACATAGCTGGGAGCTTCCTATTCCTAATGATGTCCCATGGGTGTCCTGTTCCTGGTGGTCCCATGAGCATCCTGCTCCTCAGTCACCATCTGGGGTCCCATGGGACGATGCTGGGTGACCCTCCCTGCTGCTCCTGCCTTCCCATGAGTAGCATCCCCTGCTTGTGGTCACCGACACCGCGTTGCTCCTCTGCTGTAGTGCTGCACCCTGCAGCAAGGTGCTTCCCCTTGGGATAGGGGTCTGGGAAGATGTGGGGGGGCTCCTCTTCTAGCCAAGCCCTGTGCCCAGCCAGGTTCCTAGTGGTGGCTGGGAGCTGGGTGTGAGCTCCTCGTTGCCTGGCTGCCCTCCAGCCGGAGCTGCAGTTTCATTTCCCCTTGCAGAGCTACAAGCAGTTCTGGTTCCACCGCAACAATCATGCTGACAACATGCCAGTCCTTGTTTGGGACAGACTTGCTGGCTCTGCTTCTCCAAACTCTGGCAGTCGTGGGGCTGTGAGCTTCTCTCTGACATCAGCCCTGGGTTGGAGCAGGGATCGTCCCCAGCGGCCGCTCAGGTGGGAGCTGCTCTGGGTGAGCTGATTTCTCCTCGTTGGCACTGAGCTGCCTTTCCCCGAGCGTTTGCTGGGCCTGAAAATATCTGCCAGGTCTGTCGGCTGCTGCTGTGACCCTGAGCGTGGCAGCAAAAGCCCTGACAGCACCGGCTGTCATTGTTGGGGCGGATCAGGCGGCACAAAAGGACGCGAGTGGAAAGTACTAGCTGTGAGCAGAAAGGAAATGTTTACCAACCCGCGTTCGGGGCTCTCTTTTGTTGATTGTCCAATAAAACCACATCTCTCTTTATTTATTTATTTAATTGTTTATTGCCCTTTGCAGCTTGTATCTGCCTTCTTTTTTTTTTTTTTTGCTTTGGGCAGGGGGTGATGGAGCAAGTGGGGTTGGAAGTGATGTGTGACCCCCTGAGCCAGGGTTGGCTGTGTGTCCTTCCCCCTTCCCTTCCCCCTTATCCCTTCCCCCTTCCCTTTGCCCTTCCCCCTTCCCTTCCCCCTTCCCTTCCTCCTTCCCGCCTGCCCCTTTCCTTCCCCCTCTCCCTTTCCTTCCCCTTCCCTTCCCTTTTTCCTTCCCTTCCCTTCTTCTTCCCCTTCCCTTCCCTTTTCCCTTCCCTTCTTCTTTCCCTTTTCTTCCCTTCCCTCCTTCCCACAAATGGGAGCACCGAGTAGTTTGGCTGCTGGGGTTCCCTGCTTTGCACAGCTCGTGGCTCTCCTCCTGTTTTTGCACCCTTGCTGTGATGCTCTGAGTGACTGACATGGTCAGGGGAGGGATTGCTTGCTGAGATCTGCATGCAGAGCATCACACGGTGGTGCCTCTATGTGCCCAAAGCTGCACCCATCCTGCAGCTTCATGGCCCCACTACCATAGAATTGCATGGGTTGGAAGGGACCTCAAGGATCATCAGATCCCAACCCCTGTGCTGCAGGCAGGGCTGCCAACCCAGGTCTGCAACTGGTGCTGCTACCAGGCAGCTCAGCCCCCCGGGCACAGCGCAGTGCTCACAGCCTCAGCCCTTTTCCTGGAAGCAGGTCTGGCCAAGCCCGGGGCTTGGAGGAATGGGAGGAATTTGTCTCAGGTTTCCAGAGTGCAAGAAGCATCTTGCTCCCACCTTTCAGCTGTCCTTAATCTGCTCTGCTCTGAGCACCGTCCCTCTGCCTGCTGGCGGCTGGGTTCGGGTTGGGGTTGGGTTGGGGTTGGGATGGGGGTGGGATGTGGATGGATTTGAGCTGAGTTTGGGTTGGGTTGGGGATGAGTTTGGGTTGAATTTGGGCTGGGTTTGGGCTGGGTTGGGGATGAGTTTAGGTTGAATTTGGGCTGGTCTGGGGCTGGGTCGGGGCTGGGAGTGGGCTGGGTTGGGGATGGGCTGGGGATGGATTGGATTCAGGCTGACATTGGGCTGGGTTGGGGATGGGCTGGGGATGAATTGGTGCTGAGTTTGGGCTGGGTTCGGGCTGGGTTTAGGCAGCAGTTTGGCCATCTCCAAGATTTTGGAGCTCCTGCATGTCCTCGGGCAGCGCGGGTGTTAACTGTGCTATTTGAGCTCATGCCGGCTGAGAGAACAGCCTGTCTGTGCGGCTCCTCTTTCCATTTATAGCTGTGTTTAGGCGATCCAGTGCACGGACCCTCGCGCTCTGACGCCTGGTGCCAAGCACGAGACAAATGCTTCATTGATACGTGCATACCGGGAGGGCAGCGGGGCCGGGACGGCGCTGAGCTGGGTGGCACGGGCTGGGGCTGGGCAGGCTGAGCACAGGGTAATGCCCACGAGTGGGGAGGAACGTGCAGCACACAGCTCTGCTGTCTCACCTGCCGGCCCTGAGTGCTGCCTGCTGGAGCTGAAGGATCACAGGTGGGGTTTCTGAGCACCTCAGCTCAGAGTTGGGAATGCAGGTGTCCCCTTCCCTCCTGAGCGCACGGAGGTGATGTCGGAGGTGTGGAGCTGCTTGCACACACCAGCTCAGCTCCCCATGTGCACTCACAGACCAACCGTCCCCGGTAGAACCATAGAATATCCCAAGTTAGAAAGGTCCCATATGGATCCCTGAGTCCAACTCTGGCAGTAAAAAGGGTTTTGCGCTTGGAAAACCTGGTGCATCCTCCGGAGGTGCTGAAGGTTTGCTGGGTGGTGCACAGCAGAGCAGAGGGTCTTTAGGTGGGAGCGTGGTTCTGGAGTTGTGCCTGGTGATGATGAGGCAGATAACACCCCACACAAAGCACAGCGTGCCCTCTCACCTTTAGGGCTCACATCTTTTTGTCCAGAATCTCAGAGCCAAAGGGCCGCCCCACCTCCCCTTCCTGCCCAGGGAGTGACATTTCCCTTTGCTCTGTGGATGGGACATCTCTCTGATGAGGACATCTTTGCCCACCCATCCAGGCTGGCTGATCCTTGCCCCTTGCTGCCACCACAGCAATGTTTACCCTGCTTATCTCACTGCTCCCAAACCCCTACATCTGACAGGAGCGGTGTCACCCTGCCTTCCCAGTGCCATCAACACGCAGCGCTCCCCACGGCATCGGTGTGCCCTACATTTCAGCCTGCTGTTTTAATGAAGGGTGGCTGCCTCACACCCCGACGGCCCTCCTGCCTCTCCCTGCAGCACCCAGAACGATTACACCAAGCATCCCTTCCCCTCCTGCACAATTACAGCTCCATCCTGCCTAAATCCGCATGGCCGCGGCGTGACTCACCTAACGACAGCTCCCCTAATGAATCCTGGGTGCATTCCTTCCAGGCTGGACGTGATGTTAACGTGCCACTTAGTAACCAGCCACCCTTTTTCATCGTCAGCACAGCGAGTCGAGCCAGTTTCTTCCCCTGCCCCTCCTCTGCCACAGCGGGACGGGCGGCTGCAACCTGTCCATGTCAGCATCCAGGGCGTCATTCCCTTTTGTGGAGGGGTTTCTCACTGCTGCGTTGAGGTCCAGCCATCTGCATCTGCTCTGGGAAAGGAGAATTGCCCACGTGTGTGTATCAGGTAAGCCGAAATAGAGCCCTGATTGGGGCAGAAGGGATGAAGGTTTGGGTTTGGGGGACACAGGGCCTGGAGCTGCCCAACGCTGCAACACGGGGTTGTGGGGTTTTCTTTCTGTTTGATTGCTGCTCAAGGGTTTCTCCTTCACAGAGCCATCAGCAGGTGCTCCCAGATCCTGAAAGCAGCAGCGGAGGAGATGGTGATGGAGACAATACAGCCTCTGCCCCTCACAGCCTGGGGTTGTGCTCCAGCATCACACAGCCCAGCACTGAGTGCACCTGGAGCAGGACTGGGATCCCAGTGCACATCCCCAGTGGTTTCCAGCTGTGTGGCACACCTGCCTGCACATGGCACTGTGTTGGGCTCCCACAGCGTGCCCAGCCACTGCAAATCCCCAACACCTCCCTGTCCCCAGCCCCAAACAGCCCTGAGCTTCACCAGACCACAGTTTGAAGAAGCCCATCGTCACGCTCTGTGCCTGCCCCACTTGGGGGTCAGCAATGCCCTGTGAGCAGCTGCCTGGTGGGGGGCAGCTGGAGCTGCCCTGGGGATGTGGTGTGGGTGTGCTGGTGTGTGTGCCCAGAGGATGGGGCACAGG